TCAGAAAAAAAAAATACAGCCAAAATTTTCAGCTTCTTATATCAAAAGATTGAGATTGTCTTTGAAATAACAAGAAAAGTTTGTTATTTTGATATTTCGAAATATCAGAGAATTTTTTTTTTTTTTTATAAATTGAAAACTGCAAATTTCTGAAGATATTTTTTCCAACACTGCAGTATACCTTATTGCTTGGAGAACGATGTAGGTGAATAACATCTCTCAAAGCAATATTTTCATTCCTTTTAAGATTTTTCAGTTACCTGTATATATTTGCATGTTACGAATGGCTCGATACTTCTTTTCAAAGCATTCAATATACAAACATGTCAGACGAGTTTCGTTACAAAAAAAAAAGAAAAAGAAAATACATCATTTGGTAGAAAAAAAATTATTTACTAAAAGAAATTAATTCACAAATTCATCTTTTAATCACTTGGAATCAATCTTTGTGAGTGATGCGCTTTTTCTTAAAACTAGCAGTGATTTTCTATTTTTATTCCTCTTAATAAAAAATAATTTAGATAAATTTTTTTCAAATATAAATGTAAGTTTAATGTCTTTATTTGAAATAATCAACAGTTATCATAAATGATACGAACAATGCGCCAAAAGATATCATGAATTTAACTTGAATTCCAGAGAAAATTAATTTTCATCATTAAATGTGGTTTCATAAAGTTAATCAAGAGAACATAAACCTACGTCATTTCCCTTCCGAGTGAAATAGCAAAGTATATCAAGGAAACTTTCATTAAAATAATTGACTAGGTGCACTCGCTTGATATATATATATATATATATATACATTGCACAAGCTTGCAATTTCATCTTTCTCTTCTAGTTCATGGGGAATATTTTATTTCTTTTTTTTTTCCTCACATACAATTTACTATATGGGAAAAAATTTATTTTTTTTTTTTGAATCATTCTGAAATATATTTATAATTGGCCAAAGAAAAAAAGACTTAGTTTTCGTAAAATAAATTGAGAATCAAGATTTCATTTAACCCCTTAGAATTTCATCTTGATTGCAGATTTTCCTTTTAAGCTTAATTTTAAAGGAGCTGCTTGAACAAGAAATTAAGCGGAACTTTGAAATAGAAGTTTGAATCAAGCCACAAAATGAAATCTTATTACTTTACACAAAATATATTCTTAAAAAAGCAAAAATAAATACATTTTTTTTTAATAGAAATGATAAAATTTCTTTTAATCACTTTAATGAATAAAATTTGTATGAAATAAAAAATTTAACTATTTTTAATATATATATTTAAAATTGTATCAATTCTTGATATATTTTCCATTATTGAGAATAAAAAGAGAAATAAAAAGAGAAAGAAAAATAGAGACGTAAATTTTAGATCAAGATTCTAGAATATATTCCTTTTTTTTTCCTTTTTAACTGTCAGCAGGTGAAAAGCCTAAATGTAATGCTCTCGCGCGCAATACGTCAGAATTGTCTTGGGAACGAAGATTCTTTCTTTTTTCCAAAGAATTTTCTATTTCTTCTCTTTATCTTTATGGTTTCTTCTGCCAGTAGATTAGACTTTCTTTTAAATTTGCAGAAATCCCAAAGGCTCTTCCAAAACAATAAAAACTATTTCAATTTCAGAAATTATTGAATCCTAGCTGTAAAATGTATCACTCTATATGATTTTCTTTATTTATTATTGAAAAGATTTGATTTTAATTTTGTAAATTTTTTTATTAAAAGAAATTTTTTAAAAAATAAATAAAGTCAAGAATTTATGTAATAAAAATATCTTTTTACTCTTGAAAAAAGAAAAGTCACGCATAAGAAATATTTTTTAATTAATCACAAACGTTCTGAAAGTGCATTTTTTTTATCGTATTATGAATAACAATGAAAACAAAAAGAATAAAGATAATTAAATTATTGCTATTGTTAAATGGAATTATTGAGAAATACCAGCTTTTATTGTATTTTCACTTATTTTTTAATCTTAAATGAATAATAGAAAAGTATCTGAGTCTTTTTAAATCAATGTAGGGAGCTTACTTTTTTTTTTCTATGATCAACGACGAGAAATCCTTAAGAGTTTCTTGCTGTCTAGAAGCTCAACTACTTTTTGCTAAGGTAACTAGTCAGGCGCGGTTTTCCTCCTTGATTACAGTGTTTGCTGCTCCTTCGAAACTTAAAGCACGAAAGCCCTGTTTGTGGTAAACCCCTTTGGTAAAATGGACAAGAAACTATGATTGTCATGTTTGACTTGATTCGTCCACGTAATTATAGATTGATATATGGAAAAGTTTGAAAATAAAGGAATTAAAGGTTTTTTTTAAAATTAATTTCTTCTCACCTAATTTAAGAATTTATTTCCAATATTTATCATAAGAACGTGACATTATAAAAGAAAAAATATCTTGTGACACACTTAAAAAAAAAATTAAAATCATTTAAATTGAAGACTTGGAAAAATTATTTCGCAACTTATTTTCAATTATATACATTAAGTGATGATAAATTAATTCAATGTTGTCTAGTATAATACTGGTAAAATATTGGATAATTAGTGAAACACTGTGAATACTCAAACATACATATTTAATGTGGGAATGGAATTATCCTCTCACGTGCACTTTGGAATTTAATTACCTAAAACATTCGATAAATGCACATTATAATGACACTCATATTACTTTAATTATTATTTCAAATTCCATTCCCAATTATACCTAATAATCTTTTGAAATTAATCAATGAAATTAGTTACAATGCAACTGATTTTAACAAGCATTGTGAAAAAAATTTTTTCCCTTCTAAATATTTGTATTTCTACAATTATAATTTCACAAATATGAATGTTGAATTAAACACAGAAAAAATCTTGGACTCAGTTCCAAATGAGCCAAACGGCATAGAACATGGCGCCATCTACGAGGCACATTTTTGTTTCACTTCAAAATGAATGGTTTTTTATTTGACAAATGCTATCTATATGTCGATAACAAATAAATATAAATAAATGTTTAGATATACTTAAATTATAGTAGAAATAACAATTTGTTATATTTATAATTGAATTTGTCACTTGTAATGAAAGCTTGTTAACTGAAAGGGGACATAAAACCAATTTAATGTTGAACACGTTCTTGTTCTAAAGCTGTGCCCAAAGGGTAATAGAAGGCTCATTACCGAGAGTAGTCGATTGGCATATACCTTCAGTCGAAATGGTCAGTTGAGAAATTACCAATTCAACCAAAATGTTAATTAACCGTATTTCAAAAGTATCATTATTCTTTCAGTTCTACTTTAAGAAACAAATTAAATCATTAGAAACAATCGTCACTAAAAGTTGCTTTCTCAGATAATTTAAAAAAAATTTTTTTTTAATTTCATTTATTTTATTCTAAACAAAGATATAGCGATAGGTGTACTTGCCACGTGCCGAGTTAGCACGTAGGTTGAAAATTATTGCCCGACAATGAGCAAATAACTATGCGGTTAGCTTCGATCTCGGTCCTGATTCGATCCATTGAGCTGCTGCACGTTTGCAGTTTGAATTGCCTCTTGCATACTGCAAGGAAGGCAAACCAAGGATTGTTAGAAACGGTGTATTCACCCTCGTAGTTCGTGAATACACTCCCTTTGTAATTTCCCCTCAACGAACTGTAGTTTACATTGAAGATAGCAAAGCTTAACAAGAAAATGACTACTTACGTTTGTTTCTCATTTAAATCACTGTTTCAAACCCTTTAATTTTTTTAAATCATTTCCCTAAAATCAAATTAACAATTACTAATGTAAAAATAATAATATGATTCATTTTGAATCTAATTACTTTGAAAAAAAAACAATCGTTAATTATTTTAAAGTCGTGAATTAAGCTTGTTAGGATGTCAGCTTTTCAAGCAGGATTCAGACATTTGAGAGATATATTCAGAGAACGTAATCGTGAATGTACTGTTTAACAATGTCGATTCAAGTCTCCATTCACGTCTCAGATAGGTTGCATACAAATCCTTTGACAATAAGGCAAAGTGCAGGCAAAAGGAGACACGATGTTCTCTCCTGGGTGTCTTCTTGAATCTGCATGAGGGAACAGAGCTTAATGGGTACACACTAATGATGTAGTTTGAAAAAGAATATGAAAATTACTGAGAAATATTATTTCTTTTCATTCAAAAAAAAATTACGTGCAATTATATATTAGGAGAAAATTTTGCAATTATTTGAAAATTTAATTTAATTTCATGATGATATAGTGAAGATCGAATTCCAGAGCTTATGCCTTTAACTTTACACATGAATAAATATTGAAGATCGTGCGCAATTCACATCAACGTTCTTACATGATGTAACCAATTTAAAATCAATTTTGAAATTATCAGCTCAAAATAATTTGATAATAATCTACATTATGAGGTTACGCCATAATTAAGTGAATATACTATTTTATTAGATAGAGTTTCCAAACTCTATTTTCATCAATGCAATTTAGACTTCGAATCTATATATTAAACAAAATTTGCTATTTCTGGAATATTGATCAGTTATAAATATTATTGAGGGATTTTTATTTTATGCTTGAGATTTTTTGTAATTTCTAGACATTTAACAATCGCTTAAAATTTGCCTAAATAGTCTGACAATTTAGATTCAGAGGAAGCCAATTGACTATAAAATAAGGGGTTGAGAGATTGTCTAGGGAATATACATATAGACATATAAATAGGACCTTTACAGGCATGAACTTCAGAAGGATCGTCCATATTATTCAAGTGATTACACGCAATAACTCGCATGGTTGGAAACAGACAACCTAATGCCTCTGTCTCGAAACACATAGGCAAATATTACATGTGTTTCCTAATTCCAAAACATAATATATGTGTCTTTTGTTGAATAAGGTTCCTCCGTTTCATTACAATGCAAAAAGGAATTTATTTGTATATAATTGCTACACCTTCAATTTCAACTCTATTTATGGTAACATTAAAAATTTGTCTTAATAACTCAATAATTAATAGTAATATAAATTTGACAATTTGTCAGAATGATCTTTATTCAGAAATTTTTAACTTTCAACTTATATACATTGTATATGTATTATATATTTTTATTGTAATATTAAAAAATAATAATGAAAAATGTCAGCACATACACACAATTTTTTATTTGTATTTACAAAAGATAACAGATTTTAATCAACACAATTTCTCACACACAAATACGTTCATACACTATATCAATAAAATACTAAAAATTACGTTAAAAAAAAATTAACTCGCACGAACAAGAACTGGTTTAACTTTACTAGAAACTCCATCCCCTTCAATTTTTACTGGTTTCATTACTGCTTTAAGAATATTAACCCTTTGCTCAGCAACCTGAAAATTTATTTCTATTTGTTAATTTTTTTTTTAAGAAACATTTCACACTATTCAAAATAGTGTTTTAGTTAAATTAAATTTCTTTATAAAATTAATTCAATTTGTTTGATTTTTTTGTTTTAATTACCTCTTCGTCTTCAATTTCAATTTCTTTAAGAATTTCATCAAGCACAGAAAGTAGATGATCGACATTTTCTTTATTAAAAACCAATGGTGGTTTTATTTTTAATATATTAACATCGGGTCCATCGCTGCTGATGAGAATTTTTTCATCCTTCATTCTCATTACTATTCGTTTTGCTTCAGCAGTTGCTGGTGTTCTTTTCATTCTATCTTTAACTAATTCAATTCCCACGAATAATCCTGCTCCACGAACATCACCAATAATAGAATGACGTTTTTGCAGTTTCTTCAATTCATGAAGAAGATAATTGCCAACCGCTAGTGCACGTTTCTGAAGATTCTCCCTTTCAATCACGTCCATTACTGCATTAGCAATTGCACAGGAAACTGGATTTCCACCATACTAGAAATTTTATTACAAAAGAAAATAATAATAATGCAATAATATAAAATTACAATTTTAAAAAACAAATATTTTTTTCCTTTTCTGATTTTTATCAAAATACAAAAAATAATCCGCTTTAAAATTATATCAAAAATAAATGATAAATCATTCGATCTCTTTTACATCAAATTCCTAAAGTTTGTTTACCTTTAAAAAAAATCAGATTTCAATAGCTCATTAAGAATTTTAAAATCAGTTATTGATAAAAATTTTAATCTATTTTTAAATTAGTCAAAAATTCCACAATATGTTTAATTTGAAAAAATAGTTATTGGTTGTTTTTTTAAAATATTATTCATTGCCAAAAAAAAAACTCTACTCGCAGGAGTACATCCAATCATCATCATAATTAAAATTGATGCCTCAGGCATATAGATGAGCTTGGATTTGAAATACAAACTCTCATTGATTTTGATATACATGAACATTCGAGAATCAAAGGAAATGAGACAGTAGATGCTTTTGTCCGAACAGAATTAGAAACATCAATGGATGGTCCAAAACCACCGCTATAGGCATTATGCCAAAGGCTGTTAAAGCTGATGTTGAACATTGATGAGAAAGCAAATTGTAATAAGAAAAGACAAGCAAAAGGTTTTGTTGAAATTATATAAGACTTAGAGCAAAGATCATCATGATAAAATTCAACTGAAATTGATTTTGAACCAATTGGAAAACTTTCGTTCAATTGTGATTTGTCACATAAAAGGGCCATTTGATGGTAGAGACCGACCCGTGACAATGCTGTGCTTACAAGGATCCAAATCAACAAAAAAAGTGTATCGCGAGCACTGGACTTGAACATTGTTCTTTATGGGGAAAATCTTAAAATAATTCATCTGTCATAGAGAGTTGTCCATTGTCTTTTTTGTAGAAAGTCATCACTTGTCTTTATGAATCACGAAAAAAATTACTAGTACCAATGAGTTGTCATTTGTCTTTTTTATACAAAGTATCCTTTGCTTTCTGGCAAAGTTAGATAAGTGATGATTTTGTATATAAAAGACAAGTGACAACTCACTGCTACTAGTAATTTTTTTCGTGATTCATAAAGACAAGTGACAACTCTCTGTGACAGATGAATTATTTTGAGATTTTCCCCATAAAGAACAATGTTCAAGTCCAGTTATCGCGATACACTTTTTTTGTTGATTTGGATCCTTGTAAGCACAGCATTGTCACGGGTCGGTCTCTACCATTAAATGGCCCTTTTATGTGACAACTCACTTATTCTCAATAAGTTTTATCATAATTGATAAATACAAATGAGAAATTTGTACGAAAGAGAAATTCATCGCAGACGAAACAATTTAAATAGTCAATATTATTTTATTTTCACCTGATTTTAATGAAGCAAATATACTTAAAAATTACATTCGAGATTAATATTTAAGAAGACAATTTTTATGGAATAAAAAAGAATTCGATATTAACTATCAAAATGCAAACTTGACTTACTGTGTTAAAATATTCAATTCCGGTATCTGTGAAACTTCGAGCGATTTCCCGGGTAGTGATTACTGCTGCTACGGGATGTCCGTTACCCATGGGTTTTCCGACAGTAACTATATCTGGAATTATGTCTTCACCATAAAGCTGGAAAGCCCACATATGAGTTCCAACCCTACCAAATCCAACTTGCACTTCATCAGCAATGCAAACTCCACCAGCTTCTCTGACATGTCTGAAAAAGACAAATGTTTCAATTGAAACTATAAATTCTTCATTTACAAAATTCAATTTAATTAATGGTGAGAATTTGCAAATACATTTTAATATAAAATAAAAATGCATCTGGATTTTTCCTTAAAATCTTCCGTATATTGTTTCAATATTTAATATATCACTTGTTTATTATTCTTTTTTAAAAAAATCTTCCAAGTACAATATATCAATATTTAACAAATAAAAGCAATTCTTATCTAACCAAGCGTATACTTTGTATAAAATAATTTTTGTTTGCATTATGTTGTAATAACGATATAATTCTTCATAAATTGAAATTCCTGATTAGAAACGAATTCAAAACTTATCAATTTTTTTTCCATTTTATATAAAAGAAAAGCTCCCCTTTTTTCTAGAAGCGCAAAACTTTTATCTAAGTCTCTATATAAACGAAATGAATGGTTTTCAAGTTACCTGTAGACATTTCTGAAGTAATTTTTAGGTGGTAGAATCTGTCCACCTACGGACATAAGACTCTCGGCAATGAAAGCTGAAATCCCACGTTCTTTTTCTTTCACATCCTTACAAATTTTTCTCACGTCATTCGCGTACTTTAGACCAAGATCCTCGCCAGGATAGTCAACGTCACGATATTTTCCACGATAAACATCAGGACATGGTGCCTGTAAAAAAAATGATCAAAAATAAATTTTCATAAAAAACGAAAAAAGAAAATTTATATAAAAAAAAATATATATGTTAACAATTACCACGTGAATATGATCTTTTTTTCCAATTCCCTTTGGTTGATTGAATTTGTATGGTGAGATGTCAATCATGGATGTTAAATGTCCATGGTAAGCACTAGAATCAAAGTGATTAATTAATTTAGCAAGTATTTTTTTAAAATCATCCTTATTTGTTTTGCAAAGAAATATGTAAAAAAATCAAATTAGAATTTTCTTTAACTATCATCCAGTGACTGTAATGAAACGTTTATATAAATAGGACTGAAAATCGGAGTTTGAAAACACTAGGGGGGCCAGCAACTAGGAAGCAATGCCCCTACAAAATCCGCTGTAAAATTTCACGTCCTTTCCACAGATTGCGCGTCAAATTAAAAAAAAAAAATGATAGTGTTACTCAATTATTTGGTTTCATCTTTTTTGCAACAAATTAATGTTTATCAAAATAAAAAACATTTAAACCAACCATTTAGGCAAAAAAAATTTAAATTTCATTCTTACTTCAAGCGTGACAATTTTCTAAAAGTAAACATATTTTTACTTACAGCTTCAATTAATGTCAATCAATGATAATATGGAATAATATTGTTAAAAAAAAAAAAATAATTCCCTAAATCAAAATTAGTGACTTGTGAGTTTAATAAAAATGAATAGAAGTCATTTTTGGGGAAATTATAAAAAGAATGAATAGTTATTTTCAGATTCAATAAGAAAAATGTCTCACTATTCACTAATTAAGATTTTTAGACTCTGTGAGTTAATAAAGATGACACCCACTCATCCATAAAGATTAGAGAAATCACATATTTAGTTAGAATTCTAATGCACAATAAACAAATTTTTTTTTCACAATTTGCCTTTAGCATACATCATATCTTCCTTGTGTCACCTAAAATGACAAGAGTGTTATTGCAGAATCCAAAATTGTTCTTGATTAGCTTCCACGTTGAAATTTTTTTTTTTCTGGCTTTTTTTTGGCAATCTTCTTCAATTTTCTGACTCATGCTGTAAACAAGCAAAACACAAACCCAGACGATTAGTAAAGTTTTGTGAAAGAAATAGTTCTCTTGAAAATCAATCTGAAAACATTATACATGAATTCATTTTCACACTTTACGGAATCATACCATCACTATCGAAATCTCAGAAATTTTCCAAAAAACAATATTCTTGGTAATGCATAACTGAATATATTTACAAATATATTAGCTACTAGTTAAATTGTCAATATTAATGTTTAATTAACTAAAAAGCAATGTTAGTTAATTTTAAGAATAAAAATTGTCAAATTCAATACCTCAGCTGTGCTAAACTTCTCGAGAAAGCGATGTGAATATCATTCAAACTTTCATCAACTATCTTAAATATTAATTTTTTGATTAAAAAAAAAATAATAATAATAATTTTTTTCCAAACAGTTAATATTAATTTATAAAGAAAATTTAATAAGATACATTTTCAATGAAATTAAATAATAATTCAATTTAATTGAATTAAACATTGAAAATTAAATTGGAATTAAAATTCAATTTAAATGAAAATAACAAATTTTTAAATTAACTGTTTTTTTTTTTATTTTTGCACATTCGACATTTTTTATCTTCAATAAAAAAATTTGAAAAATAATAATTGATTATTACTGTTTTTTTATATATGAACGTGCAAAAATTATTATTGGAAAACTCAAACAATTCCATCTTCTGGCATTTCCAATTAACTTTATTTAATTTACAATTTCATGAATAAATATTAATAAACGAAATACGAAAAAATTTTTTTTTCATTTTTATAATAAAGCAAAATATAACTAAAAAAAATTATTATTTTAGTATTTTAAAATAATATAATATTTGAGGGGTGTTCTAATAAATTTTTCCGAAAGAATATTTTTTTTTTTTGAGAAAATAAAAAAAGTTGATACCATTTAATGGAATTATTAAAGTCATTATAATCGTTTTGACGATATAAGTCGAATAATAAAAAAATAAAAAAAAAAAAATAAAAAAGGTACTGAGATTAATATTATCAGGCACGACTGATAAAGCCTTTGTTTTAAGACTTACTGATCTAAGACAATAATGTCCTTATTTCCATTGTGCGTATGTGCAAGTCGAAGTGCCAAATCATTAGCTTCACTTCCAGAATTTACCAAATAGCAAACTGACAGCTGCTCGGGAAGTAATGATGTCAATCTTTTGGCACAAATCACTAAATCATCATGAAGAAAGCGATTGTTGGTTGACAATAAGGACATTTGTTTTTGTCCCGCTTCCACTACATGCGGATGGCAATGGCCAACTAAAGAAATAAAAAAAATTTCTTTTAATTTAAGCATTATTTTGTACAACATATTATTAACAGGAAACGGTTGCCATGGTAACGGTTGCTATGGTAATTGTTACCATAGTAACGGTTGCTATGGAAACGGTTGCCATGGTAACGGTTGCTATGGTCATTGTTACCACAGTAACGGTTGCTATGGTAACGGTTACTATGGTAGCGGTTGCTATGGTAATTGTTACCATAGTAACGGTTGCTATGGTGACGGTTACCATGGTAGCGGTTGCTATGGAAATTGTTACCATAGTAACGGTTGCTATGGTGACGGTAACCATGGTAGCGGTTGCTATGGTAATTGTTACCATAGTAACGGTTGCTATGGTGACGGTTACCATGATAGCGGTTGCTATGGTAATTGTTACCATAGTAACGGTTACTATGGAAACGGTTGCTATGGTAACTGTTATCATGGCAACCATACGAGTGTACGACGGACGGACGGACGGACGCCAAAGCGAAACTATAAGTCTTTCGGGCCTGAGCCACTAAACCCTAAAAAAGACAAAATCATTACTAAATTCAAGTTTTGCTATTCTGATGATTTTTTATTATCAAGAGAAACATTTTGATGTTTTTTTTTACAACTTTTATTCTTTATTTGCAAAATAAAAAAATATTTATTGGAATTTTAATCAAAACTTTTCGATCCCAATTTCCAATCCAATTTGCAATCCCTCCAAGGAATAAGGGGATTTTTCATTCTACGCAAATGAAAAACATAATCCAAAAATAATATATATATATATATATTTTTTATAATATTTATTTGCAAAGAAGCATATATAGTTCTAAAAAAAAAATACTATCTCGAACTTAATGGAAAATTATTATTATTTGCAAATAGTAAATTTCCGTCATATAACTTATCTATCATGGTTTAATGAATTGCCGACATTATTAGTTTAGTAAGTAATGACCCTCGAGAGTCATCGCATTGATTCGAATGCCACCACACTTTGACCTAATGTTAATATTCGATAAAAACCAATATTGATACCATAAATAATAATGCTTTCGATAATTTCAAAAAAAAAATGGAATAAAAAATGCTATTTAGGTACAAAATATGTAATAATCCATTAATGTAAACTAATTATTTCTTTTTATTGTAAATTATAAAAAGAAATAATAATATGCGAAATAAAAGCGTAAAAATATTTACGATTATTATGTAATTGTAATAAAAAAAAAAAAGTGATAAAATTCTATAAATAGAAAAAATAGTATTTCATCATCGCATCTATTTCGCAGTTTGAAAATTCAATTCTGTAGGTCACGACCTTTCAAAAATAGATAAGTGCTTTATAATATTAGGGTTGCTGGTATATTGTATATAAACTGGGCCACTGACGATAATAATATCTAAAGGAAACAAGTTGATTGTTCAATTGATATTCAGGAATTCAACACCACGTGCGTTGTATTTATGGTAATAATGATCCTTTTAATCTCGAACGTAAAATTTACATTTGAAAATACTGTCAATGCACGTGTTACTGTGGCCACGTGATTCTAATGTCATATGAAGGACTTTTGATTATAATTTAAATTTACATGTACATTTTATTTTTTACTATAGATAACAATATTATTTAAAAAAAAAACTTGTTTATAACGTCAACAATTTTTTTTTAACATTGAAAAATTGACCTTTATTATCTCTAAATTATTAATGCTAAAAATTCTCCTTATTTTATGAAAGAACGAAATATCACATACCATGGGCAACATTGTTGATGCAGTCAAGGTGCCTCTCGCCTTTTTCATCGTACAAATATTGTGCCTCACCCCTGACAATCTTCAAGGGATTGGATCGATAAAAAAGTGTACATGATTCTCTAAAAGTAATGAAAACTAAATTAATTTTTATAATGTAATGCAAAAAAAAAAGAAAAAAAAAACAGGAGAAATAAAAAAAAAATGTTTCAACACGAAATTTCTACATATCTTTTTATTGACAGTAGGAAAACAAAAAATTTGATTAAATCTTCTTTTTTTTTCTCTTCAAGGCAATTTGTAAAGCAAACAAGCGCATTTTACGCGTACTGTTATCGGGTTTCGGGTTGAAATTACTGTTGCATCATTTGTCATCAATTTCTTTTTTTTTTCGAGATATAAAAAGAAATACAATCTTGTAAAGCGTTGATTAAATCTCGTTCTAGGGAAATTTTCATTCAATGAAGAAATGTAAATAATTATTTTTAACGAATTCTCTGTATATAGTTGGAAAAATGTTATTAAACATTGCATGTTGATTTTAAATAAAATTTATCTTTTCGACTAAAATATTCAAAAGTACCGCGTTATGCGCAGAAGAATTTGCGCATCACACTAAAGTTCAACTAATTGTTCATAGATAGCGCATTATACTTTTCTCACAATCAATTTTATTCAATTTCTACTTATTAATATTTTTTTTATATTTGACAATATTATTTAAAAATTTTGAAAAAAAATGAGTTACACTATTTTTTTCTATTAAAAAATTTATGTTAAATTATTATTAAATATTGTAAAATAAAATATAATTTTTTTAATATTTATAAAAATTTTTGAAACTAATGTTTGTTAAATATTTTTTTAAAAGTAGATATATATTCACATGTGCAAATAAAATTTAACTCATACATTGTAAATTGGTTTATATATATATATATTTTGAATGCTCGAGGGTGTATATGAGTTATGATTTGACCATAATGTTTTATCTGTCACACAGTATTTGGAAGTGCACACGTGATAATATGCTAATTCGCAAAAGATCGATTCAACAGTGTCGCCGGTTCTATCAGATGACCAAAGTTCTACCCGATAACGCAATTCAGCCATGAGCTGTAGAGAACCATTTAACATGGTAATGACTTGACATAAGCACATTGCCATATACGATCCTCATGCTTTATATCAAGTGAATTTCAGTTTGAGTAGTGAGAGAATCCTCTCAAGCCATTCATCTCTCATATTAGAAGCAAATTTCCTTTCTCACGTCCCTATATTCATTAATTTTGACAAATTGTTACCGATTATCTCACTTTAATTTCTATTTCGTGAATTACAAAACCACTTTATGGCAAATTTAATTAATTAATAACTTATGAAACTTTTAATTTTTTCTCCATTAATACCAGTGAAATATTTATAGAATATTATAATTTTAATAATGGTAAATATAACAAACTGCATTGTAAAATTTACCATTCAATATAGTAAATATAATGAATTGTGTTATTAATCAGTATAGTAATTATTACAATGTGTTGTAAAATTTTTTATTCAGTATGGTAAATATGACAATCTGTATTGTAAAGTTTACCATTCAGTATAGTAATTACAATAATGCATTCTAGATTTATTATTCAGTATGGTAAATATTGCAATCTGTATTGTAAAGTTTACTATTAACTATTCTGAATGTGAGAATTTTCCTTAGAATAATTTATGCAATTTAAATATCCTAATATTTAAATATTTTAGAGGAATAATTTTTTACAAGGAAAAATTTAACATATGTAAATTTAGCATAAATATCTTTCATGAAAGTGTGAAATAATTAACGTAATTATCTTTTGTTATCTCAATAGTAAATTATAACATTAATAACTCATCTTTCCGTTTATCCGTTTTTTTATGGTTATCTTTCTGTTTTTTTTTCATTATTAATTATCATTAATTAATTGTCATTTTAATCTCTAGAGTTAAAATAATTACTGTCTAGGATTAAAAAAAATCTCTATTTCTCTCCTAGGGTTAGAAAACTAATTTTACTCCCTAGTGTGAAAAAGAGTTTTTTTTTTTTACTCTAAAGAAACTTACCCAATATGTCTATTTCGAAGTTTTAGTGTGTCCGATTTGGACATCTGCTCTAAAGTCTCCGTCATTTTTTTTTTTTTGGGAAATTACACCTCCGTTCTAAAAACAAAAATTGAAACATTCTGTAAATTTTTTTTTTGAAAATTATAAAATAATCTCGTATTGTTTTGACAAATATACGTCAATAAATAAAAAAAAAAAAAATTCCATTTTACTGGTTAATCGTTACTAATGTTATACACATCAACGATTAATTGATATGCTCTCTCTCTCTCTCTCTCTCGCTCTCTAATAGACATTAAAACCCCCAGCGTGTGAAACATCATACAGAAAGCCCATTTTCGATTAAATGCTAAAATACGATAAACCTTGATTAAGTGATAGGCATGTGTGTATTTTAAAGGTAATAGTCTACGCCGTATACAGATTTAATTCCCGTATAGATATATATATATATATAAATTGAAACGCACAATCAAACAATTATTATTATTATTATTATCACCATTTTAATAATAATTCATCAATCCACGATATTATTTCGATATTTATTATCAGCTTATAATGTAATTGATATAAATAATTTAATTAATATTTTAGAAAGCAATAAACATCAATATTTTTTATTTAATGTCATAGATGTTGATTTTGTTTTTATACACTGATCTTTATTAAGAAAAATAATATTCTATTGAGAAATTTCTCAAGGATTACAAATAAAATCGATTAATGTTTAAACCCAAATACGATTTTTTGAACTTTTACTTTGTGAAAATCTAAATTGATATGCCTTTAAGTTTTCGAAAGGAACAAAATGTAAATGCTCACATGGTACGTATAGGTTAGAATCGTCTGTAATATTGATAATTTCACTTATTCCGACGTAATCTTTATAACTTTTTAACTTGTTATGTTACAGTTCTTAAAACCGTTATCTTAAAAAGGCCTTTCTTAGAGAGGCGAAAGCTCGATTTTATTTGTAATCCTTGAGAAATTTCTCAATAGAATATTATTTTTCTTAATAAAGATCAGTGTATAAAAATAAAATCAACATCTATGACGATAATTGGACTCTGATCAACAATAATAACACCTTTTAAAATTTTTTATTTAATGTTCATATTTTTTTTTGTCCAATTAATTTTTTTTAATTTTTCATTTCTGAGTTACATTCAATATTAACTGATTGTTTCAAAAAAAAAGAAAATCGTTTCTATCTAAATAGTATTAAATTTCATATCTTGTAATATTAGTTTCGCTTAAGTTTCAAATTTCTCATTTTCGCAACAAAAGACATATTCACGTTGTTAGCACATTTTATATAATATATATATATATATCTGCAGTCTTATGAAATCGTATTCTTTCTTTTTATAACTTTTTTTTCATTACAAAAATATTACCAAAAGATATAATTTTATTTTTGCGAAAAAAATTTTTTTAAGTGTTTAGTTATGAAACAAAGAAGAAAGAAAAAAAAAGAAGACAAGTTTTGATAAATCAAAAACAGAAGAGCTTGAATGAAAAATTGAAAAAAAATTCCACTACATTATCTTTGGTAAAAAAAAAAAAAGAAAAAAAATACAATAAGAGATTAACGTAAAAATAAATTAATGTGATATTGATGAATGAAAGAAGAAAATAAAGAAAAATGAGGGAGAAGGAGAGCAATTGGAATGAAGGATCGGTATAGTAAAAGTGATAATAGAATGTCATACCTGATTGAAAAGACGGAAGTTGGCTGATCCTCGACTTCTGAATGCAGTTGTCAACTATGTGTCGCGACCTACTCCAGTGACGTCATTTATAAAGTCTCTAAGTAAGCGAAAAAAGCGGGGAGTTGCGCGCGCAAATCACCAAAGTCTTTATTCAACAAATCCCCTCCTTGATCTTCCTCTACAACCCCATCATCATCATCTTCATCATCATCATCATCATCAACATCATCATCATTTCAATCATCACACTCATTAAAGGTTATTGGTTTAATACTTAATGAAAAAAAAAAAATATTGATAATATCCTTCTCGCTCAGTAAATAATGAGATTTTTGATAATTCATTTTCTGTCAACGAGATTGATTATTATTACACTGGCGCCTCACGAAGGTTACCTAATTAGTTTCCTCTTGAAATAGTGTGAAATAGAATCAATTATGAAGATAGTGAGATTGATTGAAAATCAGGAAGGTTACATTTTACGTAACAATCTTTTCTATTGTGTTAAAACAAATTATTTCAGATAACAAATAAAATTAAAGATGTTTTTAATGAATAGTTTTTGTTTTTTTAATGATTTTTATTCTTGTAAAGTTCATATGAATATCGTATGGCTTTCTTTTTTACAGTATCAGCTATCGTAAAGTTTCCATTGATTAAGTTACATTTTATGAAATTGAAAATTTTTCCATTACATGTGTTTTTGCGATATACCGCTGAATGTAAAGGGTGACTATTGATATTGTTAAAAGTTGAAAAAAAAATTAAAGCTATCTGGAATTTAAATATTTCTTATTTTTTTAATATGTTTTCGAAACAATTATAAAGGAAAAAACCCAGAACTTATAAATTTAGAATTTATAAGCGTTAACATTCCATTCATTTAATTATTTCAAAGACCGAGGGATTCAATGGGTCAATAAATATTAATCAAATCAATCTCTTGGGGTTTGGTAGATATACAATTTTAATTTGTAGAACATCATTATATGAAACATTTCATTTGTGATAATAAATATAACACTATAAATTATTAATCATTTTTTTTTTATTTAATAAACTTTTCTTTCCATTCTCTAAAAGCGTGAAAATATATTTTTTAACATTAAATTTTGCAAGAAAATAAAAATTTAAAGATTTATATATTATAATAAATATATAATTAGGGAAAAAAATTGCATATGAAAAAATGCAATTTCTCAATATAAAATTATATGTTGAACCTAAACGTTCGATAACTTATGCAAGAATTAAATGTTATCGACTGTCTACTCGAACGTAATTGTATATATATATATATATATATATATATATATATATATAACGATAGTAAAATTACAATTTTCTTTTCTTTGTAAATTACTCAACAAATTTTTTTTCCTTTTATAAAACTCGTTTCAAAAAAACAATGATGAAATTTGTACAAAAATTAATTAAAGCGCATTATAATATTATAAAATTATTGCTTAGAAACTGAACGTCACGTGAAATAGATTTATATTACATGTGATCAATATGATTTTTAATCACTATAATCACGTGACTTAAAAATTTTCTCCCAATAAATTTCCAATCTAATTGATAAAGGACGCAACAATTCCACAGATCCACGTGCGCGTGAAACAATATACTTTCATTATAATTATCAATCAATATTGTCTCAAGAACATATCAATAAGAAATATATGTATATAGATACACACAAACTTAAAAGCTTTGTATACTTTTATTTTAATCAAATGATGACAATATATTGGAAATTTTTTCTTCATATCACAAAATTAATGGATATGTACCTAAATACATTGATTTTATCATTTCAAATGAAATTAAATTATAAAAAGAACTTTGAGTATAAAATACGAATTTTTTTAAAGTCAATGAATTGTAATTTTATCGGTTATAACTTTTCCTCGAGGATTTATCAGGAAAAAAAAATGCATATTTATATACACGCAATACGTTAAAATTATCTCAAAGACAAATTTAGTCTCTTTATTTCGCGTTATAATAAATCAATTAAATTTTGTAATGAACATTATTCAAATGTCATTCTATAAATCCACTATAACGTAAAATGATATATATATATGAAAGGAATTATTTTTGAACCAATGGTTCAAATAATCATAAATTGTTTTTACCGTATATTAAAACAAAAAAATATGTAACTAATATCGATTTTAATTAACAATTAAAATAATCTTTGTACCAAAAAGAAAATATATGAGTTGTAAACTAAATTGCGAAGTGATTGAGAAAAGTACTATCTTTATATTAAGTAGAAAATGTATCTCGATTGTGAGAGAATGACTATGCGCCACCTGTAAACAATGAGTCAAACTTTAATAAGATGCGTATAGTTACACATTTGTGCACAAAGAAGTTAGATACTCTTATTTTTATTTTCTTCTTATTTAATTATAATATATTCCAAAAAAATTCCATGTATATTAATTTGAAAATAGTATTAATGAAAATTTCGCAATTTTCTATGCTGTTTGTTAATGAAATTTTTGACAGAGAGATGGTATTACTCGTTTTAAGATAAGAGATGCTGTTCTCTGTATGCGGCAATAATAAATTATTTGAGACAATGATGTTAAAATTTATCTCTCAAAGATAAAACAAAGTTTGATAAAAAGCAATTCATATAGATTACAAAAGATAGTTATTTTCATCTGTTTGTCAAGAAGTTTCTAATTTTAAAACAAAAAAAAAAAGAAAACCTTATCGAAAACAATATTGTTTTAAACTTAAACACTCCATCAAATTTTAATTTTACCAGTGTACTAATTTTTATCATTTCTTACTAGAAGGCCCCATTTTGATTAGAAAATAAATTTTCAAAAAAACGATAACAAAATGCCGATATAATTATATAATCTTTTTTATTATATAAATATATACCTATAAAGTAACGTCAGAAATTTTTATAGATAATGTACAGTGAACACTATCAAAAACCACATCGGTCAATGAACCATGATAACTCAGTCAAAATATAAGATATACATTTAAAATAAAAAATTATTGGACATTTTAAAAAAAAATTTTCGTTCAATAATTTAAACAGAAAAAACATTTATTAACCATTCAATTTAGAAAAAAAAATAAAGAAAATGATTGCGACTTTCCGAAATATTACTAATATAGATCACTAATCTAGATCACTAATCTAGATCACTAATCTAGATCACTAATCTAGATCACTAATCTAGATCACTAATCTAGATCACTAATCTAGATCACTAATCTAGATCACTAATCTAGATCACTAATCTAGATCACTAATCTAGATCACTAATCTAGATCACTAATCTAGATCACTAATCTAGATCACTAATCTAGATCACTAATCTAGATCACTAATCTAGATCACTAATCTAGATCACTAATCTAGATCACTAATCTAGATCACTAATCTAGATCACTAATCTAGATCACTAATCTAGATCACTAATCTAGATCACTAATCTAGATCACTAATCTAGATCACTAATCTAGATCACTAATCTAGATCACTAATCTAGATCACTAATCTAGATCACTAATCTAGATCACTAATCTAGATCACTAATCTAGATCACTAATCTAGATCACTAATCTAGATCACTAATCTAGATCACTAATCTAGATCACTAATCTAGATCACTAATCTAGATCACTAATCTAGATCACTAATCTAGATCACTAATCTAGATCACTAATCTAGATCACTAATCTAGATCACTAATCTAGATCACTAATCTAGATCACTAATCTAGATCACTAATCTAGATCACTAATCTAGATCACTAAACTAGATCACTAAACTAGATCACTAATCTAGATCACTAATCTAGATCACTAAACTAGATCACTAATCTAGATCACTAATCTAGATCACTAAACTAGATCACTAATCTAGATCACTAAACTAGATCACTAAACTAGATCACTAATATAGATCACTAATATAGATCTCTATTATTAAATTAAAATTTAATATTTTAAGTAATAAAAAAATTGAATTTGAATTTTTTCTTTATTTTAATTGTATTTCTGGTATTGCGTAGTAGTAATTTTTTCGCTTCTTATTGCCTTTACGAAGACTCTAATCGTAAGTTTGATTATTTATCTATTTCACGTGCCGCAGATAATGCAATGGAATAAGCACGTTTTGTATATGTCACGTTTTCCTAATACCTCTTAGGATTAATTTGCAATATCTTCCTGTTTTGTTATTTATAGGATAATGGTTTCTTAAAAACGTTGAAACAAGCTATTGGTATTCATAAATTTGATAATATTTCTTTATTTAAAATTTTTATTAAAAAATTAACTATTTATAATAATAAATTAAGAAATTAATAATTATTTACATAGTTTAGTTGATAATTAAATATATATATAGGTATATATAATTATTAACAAATAATATTAATATTTAGTTATTAATATTGGAAATATTATTTTTTAAATTATTTAATTTGTTAAAAAAAAATTGAAAAAAAATCAACTTCGCAGTCGGTAGGACTCGAACCTACGCTCCCAGAGGGAATCTGATTTCTAGTCAGACGCCTTAACCACTCGGCCACGACTGCTATGAAAAACATACTTTAAAGAACTAACCTACTCATCAGAAATATTAAAAATAATTTAAATTCGTTTTTTTTCAATACAATTGTTAAATATATGAATTTTATTAATAGTTTAACAATTAAACTTTAATTATTTTATAAAATTTTTAACAGAAAATTCACTTTCATTAAAAGAAGAAACATATCCTTACGTATCGGATATGATTTTAATTTTATTATTGTTTTACATTCTAAATAAAAAAAGCAGAATATAATTAAATTTGTTTCAATTTGAGATATTTTTAAAGAAAACGCAAATATTTTTATTTAAAAAAAAATTAAGAGTGTTAGGTATTTGAAATAAGAAGAAACAGTAATTTCAATTTAAAGTGTTCTATTAAAATTCACGCAGAACACGTTTGATTACATCAACGATCGACGGATTCATAAATAGATCCACTCCACAATATTCATTATTACCATATCATAATGCTAATAGAATTATATTATTGATAATGAAAATAAAAAAAAATTTGAATATTAATAATAATGATAATGATAATAATAATAATAATAATAATAATAATAAAAGTCGTCATTTTCGTCATTATATCTCAGCAAGAATAATGACTTTTTTTTAATATAGTATGTATGCTTCCTTAAAGGAGTAGGTAGGAGGCCCCAAAAATTGTTTTCTATTTTTTTTTTAAATTTCGTATCTTTTTTATTTTTTAGAGATTTTTTGTTATTCTTATTTTTATTAGCTATTTTATTTCTATAATCATTGAATGGGACCGCTTACTTAGTCCTGCAACAATATATCCACAATAAATGTTCAATATAGTATAATACATATATATATATATATAATATATAAATATATATAATATATAAATATATAAAATATATACGAATTATATTTTATATATAATATATATTAATACATATATATAAATATATATTTTATAAAATATTCTCGCGTTCAACATCTAGAAATTGAAAAATCTACTCTCTACTGTTTTCACGACCTGAATAATTATCCTGATACACGATGGTCATGAATCATGACAAATATCGAGTTATAATGACATTACATCATTTTTTTTTTTTTTTTTTGCCTTTGTTTTACGTAATTATAATTAATTAATTACGTAATTTATAAATATTCACATATATTTCTTATATTTGAAAAGGTCTGTGCAAATTTTTTTTTTTTATATATTTTCAATTGCTTTTTAAATTAATTAAAATCATTTAATGCCATATATATAAGTATTATTGTTCTATTAGAAAAATATAATTATAAATAAAAAATTATTTATAATACAAATTTTCTTTCAATTGTTTTCTAATTTAATGTTATGTAAAAAGAATTGTTTTTAAATTATTTAAATTATTAATTTTTAAATTACCATTGAAATTTTTTTTTTTCATAGTATTTTTTTTCGGTATCCGTTTTTAATTTAAATAATATGTTTTTTGTCAAGCAAAATTTTTGCACTGACCTTGTTCATATAAAATTGAATAAACCTATATCATTTAAATATATCTATGCCAGTTTCGCACTTTTTCTTTTTTATTGGCTATATATATATATAAATCAATTTTCGTCGCAGGACGACTTGGCCGTTAAAAGTATTTAGACTCTCATCTTATAATAAATTTATAATAATAATGATGATAATAATAATAATAATGATAATAATATTAATAATAATAATTATAATAATTATAATAATTATAATAATTATACTAATAATAATATTGAATATTCAAGATATAATAATTACAATTGTTATAATAATACATATAATCATTAATGCGGCGTAAGCGTAAAAAAATAAGACAAAGAAAAAAATTTTCTTCGTTAAATTTGCTCGGATCGGTCAACGATATTAGAATAATTATATAGAGAATGAGCTGAGCAACATTTTTTTTTTTTCTTTTTTTTTCATTCGTCTCTCAATATTGAGCATTTTAAATTTGAGCCGATACAAGAAGCCTGACAATCAGATATCTCGACGTTCGACCATTTTTTTCTTTTTAACAATTAATGATGGGAATATAATAAGAATTATTATATCTATTTCCCCCCTCTAATGAAATTATCAATATTTCCATTTAAAAGTGAAATATAATTTTCTATTAATTTATTTCTCCTTTTATTTACAAGCAAATTATTGTTTCATTTAAATAATAATAAAAAATTTGCAATTATTTTATTTATATTTTAAATTTCAATTAATTATTTGTTAATTAAAATCTATTAATTAAAATTAATTAATTAAAATTTTTGATACAATTAATTATCTATTAATACACATATAGTTTTTGTAATTATTATTTATAAGTCACTAATTTAAAAAAAATGTAATTCAAAAAAATATTACTTCTTTTTTTTTAATGTTCCACATCATTAATTGCCTATTATTATTATTATTATTGTTTATATATGTACGCTAAATTCGAAATTAATAATCTGACATCGAAACCTGCGACGTTTGCAAGAAATTGCACAAATTTCGATACACTCTTAATATTTAACATTTAATAAAAGAGGATCCTGAGCTTCTCTATTTTTCTTTCCCCTTCTTTTTCAAAAAGTGGTTCTTCTTTATTTAATTTTTTTTTTTTTTATTTGCCAATATAAAACTTTTTCCCTTAAAAAAAAAAGAAGGATTTAATTTTTTTTGCGTATCTTCATATATATATATACAGAATATTAAAAAAGCTCTGGACTTTCTTGAAAAAAGAATTTTTTTTTAATATTATTTTTTACATATTTTTTTTTTTTTAATATTTATTTTGTTTTTATTATTATAATATAGAAAATTATTATTGCCTTGAAACTTTTTGAACACCCTGCATATTATTGCAAATTTGGAAAATTATATTTTTTTTTGAATTCCTTTTTAGAAGAAACATTTTTTTTTCTTTTTTTTTATATATAATATATATATATATATAGGTGTTATATAAACGATTTTGGAAATTGCCTTTTTTTGGGTATAGAAAGCTGAATATTTTCATTGCTCACGAAAAAGAATTATAAACAATACAACCGCAGTTGTATGCATATATATATAAATAGAGAAAAAAGTGCAAATATTTTTTTTTTATATGAATTGCAAATATTTCTATATATTATTAGGGTTCAGTGGGGGGTTTTTTTTGAGCCGCATAGTAAAAGTCATTTTTTTCTAATTTAAAAATTTTTTTTTAAATTTTCCTATTGCAAAAGATTTCTGTTTCAGAAAATTTTTTTTCTTTCTTTTCAGTGACTTTTACTTTGCAAGACTCACAAAGAGGCGGAATAAAATTTTTTCATTTAAAAATTTTTTTAAGTCACGACCATGGAAATTTTTCAATTTATTTATTTTTTTTTTTTTAGAAATAAGTAGAGACTGTTTTTTTATTCCACGAACCCTTCGCGACGTCCTCGCGTTTCTACAGAACTAGTACGGTTTTTTTTTTTTTTTTTTTTTTCTTATCTTATTTTTTCATTTTCCATTTTTCTTTAAATACACTATATGAATCTAGATTGAACGCCTAAAATTCTCTTCTGAAGAAAAAAATTTTTTTTCAACTTTTTTTTTTGGTACCAAGTGTAAAAATATATTTTTCGCCTCTTCCATTTGCTTCGCACGCTCTTCCTTTTTCCTCTTTATTTCGTTTTTTTTTCTCTTGCTCTCGTTCTTTTTTTTTTACTGACTAATTAAGGGGGGGGGAGGAGGAAAGAATTAATCTCTGAGCAGTTTCCTTATCAATCTCTTCTTTTTTTTTTTTCTTGTTAGAGTGGCGGTAGAAACGCGAGTATTCTTAGACGCCATGTACATTTATATATAATTTCTATGTATATATATATATATAATTTAATATTTATTTTATATTTATTATTTATATATTTATTTTATATTTACCTGCATGACTTAAGTACGACTTCACTGATTTTTCAAAATTCAGTGACAATAATTATTAGCATTCTACGCCGAGACTAAACGCACTTCTACGGTACAGTTTACCTATATGATTTAATTTAATTAAATGCTAAAAACGATATTTTTTTTTTCCTCTAGGACGTTCTGTAATGTTACAATCTTCTAATTAGGCTAAAATGACTAATAGCTAAGGACAAATTTGATGAAAAAATGCTTTTATATATATAAGATGCATATATTTATGTGAAGGGAAGGTTTTATTTTCTTTTTTATTTAGGATGAGCCAAAAAATTCGAAAAATATATTTTCATTTTTCGTTTAGTATTTTTTTCTATGTCTGCAACTGATATCAACTCTTATTTATTTTTTCTATGACTTTTTGATGACAAGAAAAAATGTAATGAAAAACAAAAGCTTTGACAAAAAAAAATTTTTTTTTTAATTTACGAGTTTCAATATTTTTTGGCACAACCTAGGAAATTATTAAGTAATAAAAAAAATTTAAAAACAATTAGTAATAAGAAAATTTGAAAAAATAAATATGAATAATTTTTCAAAAATCTTGAAAACCAATAATAATAAAAGTGCCAAAAAGTAAGAGAAAATAAAAAATATTAATTTACTTTAATCAAAGAAAAAAATTAAGTCTAACACTTTTTTGAGAACAATCTTTTTACAAATTTTTTTCTTGAACAGATTGCTTTTATCTTTCACAACCATTTTCGATCTCTGCGTAGTAAGAAAAACTTAAAATTGATTTTTATCATTTTTATCAATTTTTTTCTTATTTTTTAAAGTGACATTAGCTAATTAACAAGAATTTAATGAGAAAATATGAAACAAAAAAAAAAAAAAAGATAGACGAGAGCGATAAGACGATAAGATGATAGATGAAACGAGAAGTAATGCTTATGACATTCGTGATGATTTACTAAATACACGATTATTATTTTCTTTTCGTGTATTTTTTTTATTATATCTATATTATATTCTATTATCTAGAATTTTTTTTTTTTTTTTTTTGCCAGTTACTTGAACTGCTCAAAACCTTTTTTTTACATGGATCCCACAAAATTATCGAGTCACAAATTTTTTATCTAATTTTACTATAGTAAATTAACAATTAATTGTTATGGTAAAAAGTAAAATTATTGATACAAATGTAAAAACAAATTTAAATAAACAATTATTGAAATTAAAAATTATTTTTTAACTTATTTTTTATTTAATTTAATTGATGAAAGTTTTAAAGAACTATTTAGAAAAGAAAAAAATAAGTAATGAAGTTATAAAATTTTTATCTGATTAATTAAACTATGGCAAAAAATTTTTTTTAAAATAAAAAACAAAACATTCACAGAAAATTTGTATGTTTTGAATTTCTTTAATAATATTTTAGATTTATTTCAAAAATAAATTTTTTCGCTGTATATATAAATTAAAAGAAATATTCTTGAAGAAATTCAAAATTCAAATTTTAATAGACAAATAATTTTTTTTTTTTTTTTAACTTTTGACAAAAAAATGTTCTTCATTATTTGATTTATCTGACAATCTCGATAATTTTTAATCGGATCCCAAAAAAATCTGATTCGACGATTTGTGATTTTCTTTTATTTTTTTTTTTTTTAATTATTATGACAACTCTACTTTTTCTTATCCTACGACTTTAGATAAACTTACATGTTTAACACTGTTTGAATAATACGATTACAGAGAGCAGACAATGTCACATTATATTGAACATTCTCAGCTTTGAAAAAGTGTTCACATAGATTTTGACGAGGCACTGTTTAGTGTTCAATACTAGAAACAAATAACAATATATTTTTTTTTGTTTTTTTTTTTTTTTTTTGTTGAAATTATCGTCACGACGTCATTAAAGAAAAAAAGAAAAAAAAACGCGTGCTGTCGCGTCTCGTGGATAGCGAGTATTAGAAAATAAATTTTTCTTTCTTTCTTTTCTCTTACCGTTATCTCAGAGATTTTATAAATAGATTAAATTTTTTATTCAATACTTAAACTTTTTCTAGGCTAAGCTGCATTTTTTTTTTCAATTAAAAAAGTAAATTTTTTTTTTTTTGTTTCGTTTTCATTATATTGTGGACGAGAGTTTGGATGAAAAAAAAAAATTAAGCGAATCTCCAGCGAGTTTTAATGTCTAAGAAGACTAAAAAGTAGACTAAAGTCTAATAAATAAAAAAATAAAAAAAAAACTATGAGTTTAGAGGCTACAATCTAAGGAGCCAAGAGACTATTAAATATTAAAAGGGGGAAAAAAACTTAAGAAATCGATTGAGACTTAAGAAATGTAGAAATAAAAAAATTTTTAGAGACAGAAGAAATTCAGAAAAATCTCGAGAAGTTCAATTTTCAAAAAAGAAATTAAAAAAAAGTGTTCGCAGACAGAATGGAAAAAAGTCGATAATAAGAGACAGAGAGAGAAAAACAAAAGACGTAAATCTTGTAGAGTCCAAAAAAAAAAAAAAAAAAAAAAAAAAAAAATTTTACATATCTCATGCAAAAACACACACGCACAAAAACTGGAAAAAGGTGGCTCAAAGTTTTGATGATATGTTATAGCGTTTAAAGATTCTTCATTTCTTTATTTCATACTTTTTTTTTAAAATAAATTTAATTTAAAAATTACAGAGATCATTTTCTTGATGGATTGTCGTCGAGACAAAACCGAGAATAGTAAATATGCATATTTTTCTTTTTTACTATGTCGTACAAAACAAGTACGCGACAATTTTTTTTTCTATATTTATATATAGAAAAAAGAGAGAAACGGAGATGCTTTCAAAAAAAAAAAAAAAAAAAAAAAAATTAATAAGAATCTGCTCCATGTGAGTGAGAGGGACAAGGGGGAATTCAAATACAATAGACAGATATATACCCTATATATAAATATCTCTCTCGCTCTGAATATCTTGAACTTTTTTTTTATATATATATATATATAAATAGACAATAATTATTGATTTAAGAAAAAAAAAATCTGTTTCTGTTTCACACTCGTTTTACAAAAATAAAACAAGAATTCACCCCTATCTAAGAGTCGAAAAAAATGAAAATTTCCTATCTAATTCAAGCTAAAAATACGTTCATTCTAAATCAAAATTGATTTCGTGTGTCGATCGATGATTCGTTTACTGCGTCTCCGATTAACGATTCCGGGATAATGAATTTTGATTTGGCTAATTTGCGTCGCGATACTTTTTTTTTTTTATTATTTTCGTTTCTTTTTATTTTACTCAGTTGCACTGAAAACTGTAAAGTCATTCAAACTCAACGCGATGCTAAATTCATACTTAATAATAATTGTAATAGTAATAATTATATAATAGTGTTATTTTTAACTAAAAAAAAAAAATTGTCAATCTAATTAAACTGCGCTCGACAGCAAACGGGCCTTTGGAACTAGAATGATTTTTTTTTTACACAAAAGAACAGAAATCCTAAATTCGCACTTATCAATACAAAGAGATCATTTTTTTCTCGCCTTACATTTTTTTTTTATCAGTGAAAACAAAATTTTTCTATTAACGAGATAATGAAGAAAAATATTTTCGTCGATCAAAATAAGAAAAAAAAATTTAATCATGAGAGATTAAATGTCAAAAATGAAAAAACATTCACTCGATTCCATTCAAAGCCCGTGAATAAAAGAACTATAATTGAACGAATAATATTAATCGTCATGTAAATAAACTAAAAAAAAAAAAAACTCGTCCCTGGGATCGCTATCCAGAGAGTTTTTCTTTCATTTTTTTTTTTATTTTTTTCTTTTTTTTTTTTTTTTTTGATGTGCCTCAACGACCACCCGCCATTGACGGTGACACAGATGATGAAATGGCTCGGTGATCATTATTATGAATAGGTGCAACTGACGATGATGGACGTCGACGACGTAGCGAATGTTGATCCTGACAAGGACGAAGATCTTGTCGCTGTTGATGACCAATGCGCGATCGTATTCGACGTTCTTGATTCAATACTGGTAATACCACGGCGGGAATCGTGGATAATGATGATGATAATTGCGTATCGTCGATTAACGGATGATAATTTTGTGGATGAGATGCAAGCCACTGTACTCCAGTTTCTACTCTGTGTCATTTACTGTTCTGCTGTAATGCTGTATTGATATGCACCCAAAGTTCCTTATTACATGACTGCGATCTGAAATTCCCATTTGAAAACAATTTTTATTAATACTAGAAATATTTTTATTTTTTTGTTGAGTTTAATCAATACACCAAATTTCAGATTTTTATCATTAGTAGAACATGAGATCTGAACCGGCATATCTAGAACTAGCGACGGAACGTTTTTTTTTTGTGTTAGCTGTCTGCACCCGAAATTCAAAGCCAAACGACTTATTGGCGGTGGAAAGACAGGAAGTCTTTATGCTTAACAAAGAGCTAGCAAACTTGCTGGAACAGAAAGTTAGGAATAGCCTAAAGATGGCTATTTGAAGATAGGCATAGCCTAGTAGTTTTACGTGCAAGATCTCCCTGTACAGGTATACCCACACGGACCCCAAGGTCGCGGGGCCAAGAGTTAATGCCCGGTCAGCACCGGTGACCAGATTACTAATCACCTGCCAATTAGCAATGTGAGCGTCCTAAGTCACGATTGCCCCTCTTGGTTTGAGGTGGGACCTTTCTCATCCCTGGCAACTCTGCAGGCTTGCCACCCGAGTTAAGTTGATGTAACTCACACCACTGCCACCACGAATCCAAACCCAACGCCTGGCGGAGACCCGAAAGTCTCCTAGGTTCCAGGCGCGTCCCGTGGTACCATTAGACTCAGGTACGAGTACCACTGTCCAGTATCCGGGAGGCCATACTAGCGGTCGGTTACCGTTTAAATACGACGACATGTACCACATACATGTCTTGACCAACCGGAAGATAGTAACTACCGAAAAACTCGGAACTTACTTCAGGTCAAAACAAGCGGCACATGTGCCGAAGCCACCATCCTTTACCATTTGCCAGCCGGAACATTACAATTGAACCATTCGTCATTTTGGAATGCATATTGACCAATGCTACACAGGTTTGTCATTGTTGGCAGCGGCGAGGTTGATACTAGAAAAACTCTTAAGCAAACCTCCTCAGACAATAACAGTTGCAAGTATAAAAATAGGCCACCGTCCATTACCATTTCCAGTTTTGAGCTCACTACTCGTCACAGTCGGCTTTTGGGACGCTTTCTCAATTATCCGACTTGCATGCATCGCATGAGGGCGGACGAACAAATATTTGACTTGCAAGAACGTCTCTGCGCTACCAGCGCCTTTTACGACACGCGGTAATTTACGGGGGCCCTATTCTGATGCCGGGGCCACCACAGAGTTTAAACTGTGTAGAATTTAACATTGTACAGTTTAGAATTCGAACCGCGCCCTTGTAAATGTTAATAAAAAAAAACATATAAATGAATCATGAAACAAAATGTCCCGGTGGTAGTTCTAGGTATGCAGAATCTTCGGTAGTTCTAGTGTTAAACTGAAATTTTTTTTGTTAAAACATATTTATTAGCTAAAGTCAATTTGCAAAAAAAAAACTATTCCATTACCTTTTTATGGACTGTAACCATTCCTTAAATTGTGTGTGTCCCTCTGGGGTGATGTTAAAAGCCGCCCGAGCAGCACACACAACACTTGCAAAGTCCTCGTAATCAGCGGTTATCAGATGATACAACTTCTGATGCATGCACTGAATATACCTGCATTAAAATTAAAATTTTATTCAACTATCTTGAAATATTTTTAAAAAAAATTGAAATGAATGTTTTCTTACATTTGCTGGCATTTATGAACAAGTGGAGCCAAGAGTGCGGATCGCAAATGTTGAAGAACGAAAGCAGGATTATTTCTAGCGAGATAGTGGGCAGACTCGAGGGCAACATCGTGAAGAACAAAGGGACTGACAATGCTATTCACCGTGCAAATGCACAATTGGTGAAGATATTGAGTGCCAAGCCTCTTGGAGACTCTCAATAACCATTTAACATCTTCGCCGTAGGGTGGATTTCTTGCATATTTTGCCTGCGGTCTATCGTCATGTACACGACGTGCCAATGTTTCCAGAGCCAACATACCCACTCGATAAGCGGAAACAAGTGCTCTAAATTGCTGCGATGTAAATGGTTGACTTTGTCTGTGAACCTGAAATTTTTCACAATTATTTTAATTCTTCAATAAGTTAATGAAAAATAATAGAACAAAAGCATTTATATTAAAATTACCTTTATTCGCTTCAGTGATTAAAGAAACTTATTCTTAGTGCTTAACTATTATTAAGTGTTTTCTATTTTATTATTTGGGATCCAATAATTAAATATAAATTAAGAAATTAATTTAGAATCTACCTGAGATGGAGCTCTGACTGTCGAAATTATTGGCTGAGCTTGAACTAACGTTGGTCCTGGTATTCCATTTTGACCGGGAATCGACTGAACGCTCGTTTGGACCTAAAAATTAAAATTAATTTTCTGATATCCATAGATCACAGGAACATAGATCTGTGGATCGAAGACTTGGTGGTTTTTTGATTATTGCCGTTATTAAATTCTTAAAGTAATGACGTGGCACTAGGAAGAAGAAGGCGACGAGAGATTTTATATTGGTGATTCGAATCGTCAGCCACACGCAGGTCGTGGGTGCAAGACCTACGAGAAAAGGAGACCTCCTGATTAAAATCGGAGGAAACTCCAACAAGGAGGCATTCACTGCTGAGGTCACCAAAGCAGTTGGAAGCATGGGGATGGTGCAAACGGTGGATTGAATGGTCACACTGGAATTCTGCGATATGGATTGCCTTACCCAGGAAGACAAAATGCAACGAAGGTTGCAAGAAGTGCTTGAAAAGCTAGAAAGTAGAAAAGTAACAGTCCTAGGACCCAACAAACGAGGGAAGAAGCTCGCAGTTGTAGTCACCGACCAAGAAAAGGCGGACAGGCTAAAGCATTTAGATCACATAAAGATGGGTTTTATGTCATGTCTAATAAAGAAAAGAGTGAAGGTGCTCTATTGGAATATTGTATAGAGAACGCAACAGCGTCTTTAATTCCCCATACTTAAATTCGTATCAATTTAGTCTCAGTTCTCAATCACGTAGGTCAGTAGGTGTTATTGTTACCTTAGATACAGCCACATAGAAAAAGCTTCAAAAGTAGCGGACAGATCATTTGCGTATTTTAAGTGCTGTAAAGCTGACCACAAGTTTGCAGACTGCAAGAGAATCCCAAGCTGCTTCTTATGCAAAGAAAAATATGGCGATAAGTCGAATAGTAACCATATCGCCGGTACAGGAGTTTACAGAGTCTTCAGATCAGCCCTGGATGAAGCGAAGACGATTCTTGCAACTGCAAGAAACAAATAGTCCTGAAAGATCGACAACGGTAAGGGTTGCGAAATCCCAGCGACCTCCACCTATAGTGTCAGTTTCGTAGTGTAAAGATTAGTCCAGCCTAAGGGTGTGGTTTTTAGTGGGTCAATCAGAACAAAAATCGGGTATCTGTCTTGAATACCAAGGGTTATGCAGATTTTCCACTTCCCTAGTAAAAAAAATAAGGACGCGGCACAAAATTGTCTAGATGACAATGCGAAAACATGAAAATGACATCTTTATTATTCATATAAGAAAAAGTTTTATTTACATTAACTGGCATCGGTTGTTGCATAGTAAACATATGATGAGTTCCTGGCGGTGGATTGACATTGACAGTCGTCACTGTGGGTTGAGGAGCGTAATACTGTGGCACAGGTGGCGGTTGCGTTGGCTGTGGTGGATGATGATGCTGCGGATGTTGAGGATGTCCTGGATGTGGTGGAAATGCTGTGTGATACATCTGCATATGAGGCGGAGGTGGTAAAGCGACTCGATGCGGTGGCATTGGACCCGGGAACGCAGGCATTGAATGATGCGGATGTATAAAATTGTATGGTCCCACAGCATATGGCATTGCAACTTCTTGTAACATTTATTTAATTATTAATTCCATTTAATTATTTATCACATTTTGAAACAACTAGAATTGTAGTTAATTTAAATAATAATTAATTATTAATAGTTGTAATTTACCTAAAGGAGCCAATGTAGTTATCGTTGGATGAGGATAAGGTAGAGGAGGTGGTTGTGCACTAGTGACAACTACTGTTTGCGTGGGACCCGACATGATTTGACCAGTGGTCATATCCACCGGAGGTCCAGACTCAACCATTAATGCTCCATTTGGATCTAGTTGCAGAGGATCGTGTGGAATTTCATCCTGTTGCTCACCACCGGGTGTGTGCTGAATAGAAATAAGGAAAAATATTATCATCATTTATTTCTTGATAAAACAATGTGACCATAATTCTTTTTTATAAAGAGGGAATAATTAATAGCACAATTGGATACTTACCCTAAGGTACAACTCGTACCAGTACTTGGCAACTTGGAAAAGAACTTCCGGATATACGCCCCCTTTCTTCGCTGTATTTTCAACTGTGATGCAAGCTTTCTCCAGCATCTCTTCTCCCTGTTCTTTGCACTGAAGGATCGCTCTTTGTATCTCATTCGGATTGAGTGCATGACAATGCGAGAGGCATGAGAGTGCAAGTTCCGCCGCGGCTTTTACAATATTGTGATCACTTCCGCGTGAAGTTTTATCAGCAATACTGACTGCCTCGGGCGGTGTCAAATGTCCCTCCCAACTGTCAATCAGAAAACAAATTGCCGGGGTTCCAATTTCCATTGCCTGACCCGTGATCCATGACACGTGACTTGAATAAGTTCGGCTTATCCAGTTAAGACTGACACAATTGTGAAGACCAAGGGCATAAAGTCCCAACTGGAAGGCACACATATGAAGCGCCCGATGGGGCACATGATGATTTTGACTCGTTGAAACTTGCGTGAACAGAGATGTTAAACTACTACCACCGGCTTTTGCAAGTACAGTCTTTGCCAGCTCAAACATGAAATGTGCCCCCGCTTCTGATGGTTGATTCGGAATCGATGGCTTCGGTATTGATGCTCTCTTATTCTTGTATCTAAATAAAATGAATGCAATTAAATTTTTCATTTTTATGATATATTAGTTTACTATTTTTCTTCGAAATTAAATACCTAGGCTCCTTTGTTCGTGAGGGCAACGGCTGCTGAGGAGTTTGTGGCTGTACAGTCATCGCACTTATTCCAGCCTCAAGTTCTGCACTCGTGCTACTGTGAGGTCGACTGGAAGTTCCAGCAATTCCATCCGTTGAGCTACTTGCTTCTGCTCCCGTCAACGGTGACGAGGATGATTTTTCTCTTCGAAAATCTGCCAACTTTTTTGAAGAAGAAAAAAAATTAAATTTCTTGTTTTGCAATTTTCAATTAAATAAATTAAAAGTATTACCTGGCTTTTCGTAGGAGGATTAGAACTATAGTAACTACTGACAATCGGAGTTTTGATTAGTTGATGTACTTCACGATCTAAAAGTTTGTCCATTATCTTCGCCACTTTTTTCGGCTCGTCCTTATAGTGAACCAAAAGAGTGATTGCCAAATCTCCTCTGTAAAAAAAAAATGCAAATCAATCCTAATGGAAGAAAATGGTAATTAAAAATTTTAATGATTTAAAAGAAAAGTTCACCTTTGACGTCGAGTTCCCTCGCAAAGAAGAGGATGATCTGCCTCGCTGACATTTGCCTTGAGTCCTAGGGCGGCCACCGCTGCTTCGAACCCGAGATTCTCGTCAACGCCTGTGGGCAGTTTCAGTCCTGCGAATCATTCCCCAATTTTTTAACTTTTTTTTTACTAAAGATTATTTAAAATCAACACCCTTTTACTCTGAAATTATTAGTTGACTGCAACTATCTCTTCATCAATAATTAAATAATTAGAATTTCAATTTATAGAAAATTAATGATCGTGGAAAAATGAAATTATAGTGAAAATATATTTATATTTTATTGAAAATATAACAATGAATGAAGAAATCATACTTGGAGAATTGAGTGCGTCGAAAATAAAGCTGGCGAGCATAATTGGAAGAAGTGCATGACCTCTTGATCGAAGAACACCATCTCGTAATTGTTTTGCTCTTTGTCTGACCATCGTCAATTCCGCGGGTCCTAGAGGAATTCTTTTCAAAAGACCCACGAGTTCGCTTTCTTGATGGGCCAATTTTACCTATTAGAAGAAAACAAACTTGTTTCTTTTTTCGTTCCGTTTTAAGAATCATATAATAAAATGGTAATTACCTCCAATGGTTTGGTGCTTGCTGGTGGTCTCGCCATTTCTAAGCCAAATAATCCAACGCGGAAAGCTAAATTATGATGCTCTGGATTCTCTGCAAGAACCGTACAAAGAAATCCACATTTGGCTAAAGTAGCGGACGCTAGACACGTGAGCTTATGAGACGCAGGATTAACTTGTTGCTGAAATAGATTTTACAAAATAGTAATGTTTTTTTCTTCATTTTAAATTAAAAAAAAAAACTTGTAAATGTAAATATACCTTCTTTCGCTTGCCCTTGACTGGCATTGGAGGCACTTCGATCATGAGATCAGGAGGATTGGCGAGAAGTTCCTCGGCTAATTTAATGCCAAGGATACATGCCTCACGTGTATTACCATGTGCATAGAGGCCTTCCGCACGGGCAAAAAGTATATCCCATGGGTCTTCCGTCTTTTTGAGATTACCTAAAACGTTGCTAGTGTTGGCGGAAGTTGCGCCATGAGGTTCACCTTTTGTTTCTTTACTAGTGCCAATGCCATTATTGACAGCGGCTTTTGGATCATAATAATATACATTATATTCGTCGCCGGATGGACTGTCACTGCTCGACGATGAGCTCTCATCCTTGGACGGCCTCCTTGATGGATCCTTCTCCTGATCCGATTCCTGTTCACTTTTTGAACTGCTCGCTTTCGCTAATACGGAACATGATGCTTCTAAAAAGTCCACCACACCCGTCGTCCTGTTACACTTCACTTCGCACGGCGCTTTGTTACTACAACTATCACTACTATCACTATGCGTCTCGGACGAGGCGTTTGAGCGATGCTTGTCCAAGCCTTGAGCGTTCTTCAAACTAGCATTGCTATTCGATGATGATTCACTACCTCCGCCCTCCTGACAAAAGGAAAAAACAAATTCAACAATTGTTTTAGAAAATTTCTAATAAATCTTCATATTCATATTTTACCTGTGAATCGGTATCACCGCAATTATTAATTTGGCCGCAGCCTCTTCTAACTAAGACAACTGGCGGCTCAGAAATATCATTAATATCTCCATCGTTTTCACAAAAACCTTCGGAGCTATCACTGCTTCGATTTCCATCACCACCGCCTATTCGTGAACACAAAGTAGGAAATTCGCGAGGATTTAATCTTCGTCTATCCGTATAACTAAATTCAACGAGGCCAAGACTCAAAGGCCTTCTGCTATGATGATGAGAAGTTGGTGGCTGACAATTTAACACTGCAGCACTTGAATTTACCTGAAATAAAAATGATTTTAAAAAATTCCTAATTTTTTTTTTTTTTTTTTTGTTCAAAAATCCATTATGTGATGTAAATCTACCTGATTCACTTCCGTTCTGGTATCACCAACATGTCTAAAGCAAGTAAATGGACAATGATACATTGGATTGCTTTCTGCAGTGTAAGTTATACCAGGCAGAGTATATTCTTCCCAATCTAAATAACAGGCTTCTATAGCAGGCCTGAATCCTGTAAAGACTTCCAGATCAGTTTTCAACGAATCCTTCTGTCCACCTCCATTATTTCTGTTATGTGAATTATGCGATACTGAACTACCACGACTCTTCATCACCTAAATGTTAAAAAATTGAAATTCCAACTTTAAATTATAATGAAAATTACTAGCTTCGAAAATTTGGAAATGAAATTCAGTTTTTTCAACAATGTAATTAAATATAATTTCAAAATTGATAAAAAAACAATGTTTCTATTTCAAAATGCGAATTAATAACAATAAAAAAATGATTGGTTTAAAGACTGTTTTAATAACTGATAAGTGACAATCAATATAATATATGAACCCGTGAGTTCTATTTAAACGATTGTCATTAACACTCATCAACATTACCTTCAACCTTCGACGTACCTTCTCGATGATCTTCATATGCCAGGCAGCAAATTGACCGTGAAGCATGTCGCGCTCAGAGGGTGAAAGGCCTGGATTCAAAGCGGCGAGCCTCCATAGTACAACAATTTCGTCACAAAGTGATGAGCAGGCATGTTGCGAGGCATGAGCATTGCTGTTCATGTTGGCGTGTTTTCCATTACCATGACTCGTGCCATTCAATAATGCCACCTTTGTGTTAAACCACCAGACGAGGATTTGTTCACAGGCCATACATTCCTCAGTGATAATTTCAAGAAGGGGTATTGCATTTCTATCGGTCCTCTTGAACATTTCACGAACAATCGAGAGGAGGTTCCACATGCCTTCTGGTTCGCGACCCCGTAAAGGACGTAATAACGAGGACCATTCTGCTGCTGCCGGCGGAGCGGTATTACTCAAATAATTCACATCACTGAAAGCATCGAATAATTTCTTTTATTACAAGTAAAATTTCTTTATTTTTTCTACAATATTTATTGAATTTCAATTGAAATTACTACAATAATTACCTAAATACAATAGGCGCTGGTACGCAAAATTTGATCAATATTTTTTTAATGTTGTCGTGAAGTGTTTTCTCGTCAAGATACCAGGAGGTTTGATCATGTGCTGATGCTCCTGCTGTTGGATCTGGTGCACCACAGTAACTGTTGATAGCACTTGGTTGGGCCGACAATAATTCATCCAGCAGTCGCTGTGCAGTTGGCAAAATTTGTTGCGGTAATTCACTGATGAGATACTGTGCAAATTTCTGCAACTGATCACGCTGTAACCTCGAAAGTGATTCACTTACTGGAGCTCTCAAGCAAACTTGTGTTGGCTGAAACAAGACATTTTCCATAATTAATTTAAACCCTCTAGTCACTAGACTGCTAAAAGTTCCTCTTCATCTTACAAGATATATATGTATACAATATTCCAAGCTTAAATTGAAATTATAATTTTTCAAATTCTAATTAAAAAAACAAATGATAAATTTATTAAAATAAAATACAATAAATACCATGTGTATCCTGTGTAGACAAACGGCAACCACGTGCGAACACCAATAAGCAGTGGAATTACAGGTGCAATTACAGGAAGTGATTCTTCGACGATCAAATGTCACTGCGACATTATATTGGGCCTTGCTTCCATTTGCAGTCGATAACATTGGGACGTTTACACTGGCACTTAGGTGGAAACCTGTGAATGAATGAAATATTTTACGATTTATAGATTTTAGACAAAGAAATCATTAATGCTCTCGGTGAAGAAATAAGGGATAAATCTGCAAAAATGAATGCTTTAACAGATACGTACAATACTTTGGTTATAGTAATAAAACAAACAAGATATTATTGTCTCTTGCAAAAAGCAAATTAATAAGATACGTAAAATTAAAATCTCATTAAATGAAGAAAGTACAATTTTAGGTTAGAGCAGTTTTTTGTCAGTCGTACAAATACAGTCTTGGAAAGCTCTTGAAGATTATCATCAAAAATCATCAAAAGCAAGTATTGTTCATCTTTACAGAACTTTATGCAGAATGTGTTTAAGTGAAGACGGTGAAATGGAAGATCAGTTTAATAAAGTACAAAAAACAGTAAATAGATTAAATACTCTCGATGAAGAAATAAGGGACAAATCTGTAAAAATTTATGCTTTACCAGATACGTACGATACTTTGGTTACAGTAATAAAACGAACAAGATATTATTGTCTCTTGCAAAAAGCAAATTAATCGACGAATATAAGATACGTAAAAATAAAATCTCATTAAATGAAGAAAGTACAATTTTGGGTTTGCAGTTTTTCTTCAGTCGTACAAATACAAATTCTAATAAAATCAGTATTAAGGTACATTATTTAATTTTTTTATTACAAATAAAAAAAGTATGGAATAAAAATAGAGTAGGCCTTGCACCTTAATTCCCTAATAGTTGTCATTATTATTAGTAAAAAATAATTTTATCAGTTATCGCTAATCAGGTCATCAGGAAAGTTGTATATATTCTAAAATAAAAAATTGTCTTCAGAGACCGAGTAATGAGACTCATTTTCCCCGACTCCCTTGAAACGAGAAATAATTCTCAGATATCTTTTTATCGATTTAAACTTTACTTTACGCTCTACTGAATGAAAAAGGCTAAATTACAAAGAATAAAGAAAATGAGGACGTTGCAAAGTTCCCAAGAAACAAAACGAGAAATATATGTCATTTATTTCTCAAAAAAAAAAATGAAAAGCAAAACGAACACCTTATTTTTGTACATTTAACAACTTTTCTTTTTTATTTTCCTTTCATATTGAAAAAAAATTTTAAAAATACTAGTGCAAAATCTGTGACAAATTTTTTGTATCTCTAAAAAAACATTTTTTACTCTACATAGAGAAAAAGAAATTTAATCTCCAGCTTTAAAAGCAATATTATAAAAGAATAAATAAACAAAAAACGAAATGGAAATATGATTCAATTGAAATATACCACAAGCTGAGCTTTTCGCCAAAAGGAAAGTACGAAGGAGTTCTCATCGAACAAGATCCTTTTTCTGCGAGTAGAAAGAGAGAGAGAGAAAATATGACGAAACCACAAATGGCCTTGAGGTCAGGAAGGATTGTACCTGTTGTTTTTCTTTTTCTTTATTTAAACCACAAAAGCATACCTTCTGCATTGTATGTGCCACATTTCTCCAAGTATATATCCCGCCCATAGAAAATAAAAGTAAAAATAAAAGAAGTTGAAAGCTCGAATACTCTAAAAACCTTTTTGAGGAAAATAAAAAAAAAAAAAAAAAAAAAACAAGAAAAGTGGACTGACTCGCTAATTTAAAATCAGATCTTTTTCAAATCCTTTGGAAAAATTTTCTCTCAGTTGGCAATAATGAAATTCCCATGTAGCTTTGAATGTCAGGATGGTTCGAACTTGAATGCGAAATTTGAATAGTGTCTGTAGCTCCAGTGAAGCGAATATTCAGAACGTGCATGAAATTTTAATGATCTTGTCAAATTCAAAATTCTATAAAGGGAACGAGACCAAGCTCCAATTTTGTACTTTTTTGATATATATTTTATTAGTATAAGTACACGTTTTTTTTAAAGGAGTTAAAAATATATTGTAAAATTTAAAAGAAATTTTTTGTTTATATGTTTCTAACATTAAATTTTTCCTTTATAAAATTTATGAACTTCTTTCAGAAAGAATAAGAATGAAAGAAAAAAATCCCTTCATTTCCGAGAGTAAAAAGTAATACATATTTCTATTTTATGAGACAAACTGAATATCTTACGCCTCAGTTCTGTTGCATATTTAAATAAAATATGTCGAGTTTCTCCACGAACGTGGTAGATTTTTTTTTTATCCCAGTAAACATGCAGCTGACACAGGAAAGCATACTGTTCTCTCTCTGGGCAGCATTTTCCATTTCTCTCTCTCTCTCTTCATTTTACTATTATTTCTGATATTCTAGGTATCTCCAAAGAATAAATAACGTTGAAGCGAATTGAAATTTTCCAATTTTGCGATCAAACCAAGCTGTTTATTTTTTGCTCTTCTTTAATATCGACAAATATTTTTTTGAAGTCTATTAAATTCCTTTATAGCAATTTATCCAAGAATTTAAAATTCCAGTGAATATTAATTGTCTTGTCTTTATTTTTATATCTTGTTTTGAAAAAAAAAAATTAATATGAATTCATTTTTTTTTTTTTTATTTACCAATTTGTAGGGGGTCTTTGACACATTTTGAACGATGGAGATTTTCGCCACGTTGAAATTCTTCGGCGCTTCCATTTGCCAAACATGAATAAAGTCGAATGTCCTCCTCGTTGTCGGGAAAACTCCAAAAAGCTATCCTTAGTTGAAGTTGTTCTGGAACTGGTGGATAAACATGTTCCACCAATTCGAAGGGAATATGTGAGGCGACACATCTTGCCGATAGTTCGCAAAGCGTCAATACAGTCTGTCCATCTGAAAACAAAAAAAAAATATATGTTTATAAAAAAAATTTTAATTGTAAAGATTGTTTTTAATTATTCTTTCAAAATTTTGAAAGTGTAGAAGAACGTTTAATGAAAAAAGAGCGGTTGGCTATTGGCCACACCTGACGCTAAGGAAGGGATACGCTCTCGTTTATTGGCTGCTGTAGCTTGGAGGGGATACGCGCTGCTTTTTTCCGCCTATTCGAATGTTTTTTTTTTATCCCATTCCTTTTTTTCGAAACGAATAAAATTTTTTTTATCCTTCATTCAATGAATACAAAAACCACCTAAAACATTTACTTTCCAAAAAAAAATTTACGTAATGCAGTAGCGAAGCTCGAGTAGAACGTCAAAAAAAAAAGGAAATTTAAAAGCAGAATAAATCGTGACACTTTAGAGGGCGTATCGGACACAGTATCGTTGTGAGGTTGTTTTTTTTTTGTCCGAGTGGACCGCATATGTTTTTTGCAAAGAAGCATGATACGGAAAAGGGAACTCGTATCTGCCTTCAAATATATTGTATATATATGTATATGTATTCGTCAGATCTCGTATCGCCACGCTACTATGCATTTATCGTTCAATACAAGGGACCGGTTATATGTTCTTTATCCTTTATCTCCAAGTCAGTTAGTTTTGCTAGTACCTCAATTAAAATTCTAACACAGTATTATAAACATATATACAGTATCTTTACTTCTTTTGCTAATAAAGTCAATCGTATGTAAAACAATCAGTACTTTGTCTGATTGACATAAAAATAAATATATATATTTAAGAAAAGTGCCAATTTACCGACCGAGTACTCTGCCTATATTGCAGACTACTCGGTCGGTAATCAAATTTTATTCGTTAATTTAAATTATTTCTATTAGGATATATCCAATCTGAATTCTGAAAAACTTTTCCAAGAAAAAAATCGTACAAATTGAACCATTGACAATTTTTTTTTCACGCTTATTAATTATTCGCCTTCTCTTACATATATATACAGTGTGTGTATATATATATGTGTATGACAATCGATTTAAAGCTTTTGAAAAGCATATTAAAAAGAGAGTCCCTAGAGAAGCATAAAATACCGGAAATCGATTTTCAGCTTGAAGAGTGAAGCGGAAACGTGATCTCATTCGTCTGGGTGCTGCTTTCGATTTGCGCGGACGATTTTCAATCGCATAAATTTCCATGTCGCCAAAACGCACTTTGACATTGCACACACACACACACACACACATATATATACATTCGTTTATACGAATTTCGCAGGCGAAAACCGTCATCGTGACGGTTCGTATTAATGCGAGATTTGCATAAAGTGGATTACGCCTGCTAACTCGTTATATGGCAACTAAAAATAGGAGAGTGAAAAAAAAAAAGAAAATAAAGAAGAAGAAGAAGCAGAGCGTGGAAGTAAAGAAAAATATATAGTTGGAGGTTTTCGTGCGGGATAAAGAGGGGAAAAAAAATAGAGATGTAGGCAAAATATATACGTAAAAGTAAATGAAAAAAAAAAAAAAATTACAAGTGTAGGTGCAACTTAAATAGAAAAATTTGTGCACTCATTCGTTTGTAGCTAAAACGCATAATTCTTGAAAAATAATGCGTCCCAAGGAAGAAATAACATTCAAATCGTTTATTTTTGTTTGTTCATTTTTTTTTTTTTTTTTATTCTTTTCCAACAAAAACGCACATGTACTTTAATCTCGCTTGCGAGCTTCCCTGATATCGGACGCCTGGGACAATATTTATTTTTCTCTACTCTAGAGAAATAAAGGTTTTATGATACATCACTGAAATTTTTATTAATTTTCACAAGTTTGATGAAAAACATATTTTTTTTAAAAAAAAAAGACAAATTACAAATAATTATGTTAAAAAAAAGATAATCAAAATAAAATTTAATAAAAAAAAATGGATAATTTTTATATGAGAAAAAAATCAAACACAAAACTGTATTTAAAAAAATATATAACAACTGTTTTTTGCGTCTGTGTGTGTGTCATTCATAAAGCCGTTTTCATTAAATCGAAATTGTCGATTCAACTGAATTTTCCGGATTTTACGATTATAGTTTTGCCAATATTTACGAAAACAAGGTCTCTAGCGACAAAATATACACGACATTTGGAGCACACACCTTGTTTATTTACTCGGTAATTGTTAAAATTTTTTTTTTTTTTCCAATTTACATTGTTTTGTAAATTTATAAACAAACTTCAACATCACCGCAAATTAAAAATTGTTCTTTCTTTTATTTATATTTTAACAGTGTACGGGCTAATATTTATTTAAAATTTTATTTTTAATATCCATGCAATTGAAGTTAAAAAAAATAAATAAATTCTAGTATCAAACAAAAAACCTGCCTTAGGTGAATTTTTAAATGTTTTCTTAAATGTCTCCTATAAATGCTTCCGACGCTTGAATTTTGAAAATCTAATATTGAATTCGTGTTCAGCGATCCCAAAAACCCCCCTAGTAACTAGTTTAAGAAAAAATTTCATAACTTTCTAAAATACTTCCGCCATTTTGCATCCGCCATTTTGAAAGCTGCGCAGTAGTGTTGTGCGTCATGTCCGCCTGCGCGCTAATGTAAAACAAAACATTTAGCTGCGCAATTCAGTCTATCATATGTTTTCTTGAAAAATTATTAAAAATAGAAATTAATAAAGTGGAAAATAAAATAAAAAACTAAATAAAGACGAATTTACAAATAATTGGCACATTAAACCCTACTGTGTAATTATTATTTTTTTTTTTTATTGATATATTTTATTTTGCCGTTCCCTTTTTCTTTTTTTTATATTCAGAGCAATTGATCGCCTCCCGCTTATATATATATATATATATATATATATATATATATATATATACGTCAGAATTTATAATAGGCACTGAATTTTCCGCTCTCCCTCTTGAAAAGGATCACTGTACTGAAATTAAATTTGCGTTTAACGTCCACCCGCCTGACACGCCATGCCAACTCGCGAGAGTTTGGTCACGACAGAGTTTTTAAACGTTGCTATATAGTATATATAAAGTCGAGGCATTACGCTCCGTGGCAAATAAACGCTCAAACCCATTAGCGCACAATAGAGGTGGGGCTTTAAGCTTAATATATTTTATATCTATATGTGTATAAAGTAATATAGATATTTGAATTTAATATTTGAGAATGACATATTTTTTTTCTCTAAATATAAATTTTTTTAAAAATTATTAATTCAATATTTTTTTTTTAATTTAATTATTTTTTTAACAAAAATTTTCTAATAAAATCTAAACGTACATTCTGGAATTGTTTTACTCTGTTAATATTTTTTTTTTTGGATTATATGGTTAATTAACTGCGTTCAGATGCGTTATATATATATACAGAAACATTTTCAAACCAACCCCTCGGAAAGTTCATTAGAGGAGTATAGCATAGCAGAGACGGAAGCAAATTGGGCTTTCTCATCGGCAGTCGTCTGGGTTCGGTGATATTAATAAAGTTATCGATGTCGAGTAATATAACGTCATTTATTATCAAGATCAACCTTCTACCCACTTCATTCATTTTATTTATTCATTCATGTTGATTGACAGCTTACAAATTTAAATAAATAGACTCATCGTTCAATTATCATTTCTCTTACATACATTTTTACCAAGTACATTTTTCTTTAAAATATCTCATTGGAATAGAAACTAAAATATTTGGCTCTAGAGAGTAAAGTAACGTATTTTCTCCCTAGAAAGTAAAATACCTCATTTTTTCCCCTTCCTAAAACGTAGGATCTATTTTTGTCCTAGGGGGAGAAAGTACAACTTTTGACCCTAGGGACTAGTTTTTTTTCGAAATAAAGCTTTTTTCTTCTATTCTCGAAATAAAAATTGTTTTTATTTATTATTATCTTCTCTACCTAGAGGAATCATAAGTATTTGTAAATAGAAAGAAGGGGAAAGATTTATATACATATATTAATTAAGCTAAATGTCATTATCTTACTACTTTTAGTCATGCACCACCTGGTACGTTAAAATGAACGTCATAAATTTATGAAATGCACATCTTTTATCATCTCACGACAACCTACAGTTTGTTTTATAAAATCAAACAAGAAACTGACTTCTTTTAAAAAATATATAGAAAATATCACACACATACACAAAAATGTATTCTTTTGTAAAGGCATCGCAAAAAGTTATTCCTTAAAGTGAGAAGAAACTCACGAAGATGAAAGGACCAAAAAAAAGAATAGAAAGAAGCAAGGACCAAAGGGATGAAAAGTTTCACCTACAGTTACAGGGGGATATAATTCATCGTATCCATCATAATTATTGAAACTTTTTTTTGTGAAAGATCCTTTTATAGAGTAAAAGTCACAGCATTATAAAAAGATCTCCTTTAATTCGAAGCCACAAGAATTTAATTAAAATTCTCTTTTTGTTTTGTATTTTTCCTGTTTTTATTTTTTAAAACTCTTTTTTTTTTGTTTTTAAACAGAAAATTTGTGTTTTGTTGGTTTTTAGTTGAAAGGGAACAAATGTATAATCAGCGATCCCTCCACGAAAACATGTTTTCCAACAGTCAACTTACGGGTCTAATTAACGTTTCGTGCACATTTGGTTATTGCTTAAAATCCACGTTGTCAGACTACACACAAGAGACGGAGGAGTGCAAATGAACTTCCCCCCTCATTCTAATGGATGGTTATACATACCACTTTAGTACATTTAGCAAAAGCCAAGATCATTTTAGAGTTTGTCAGTTCTATAACAATAAACTTCTATAATAATAATAAGCGTCTATTCAAATTTCACATATTAAAATTAAATTCTAATCAAATATAAATATTTATATGAAAAAATTCTCTTTCAATTAATAAAAATCAATTTTCATAATTTGCAAATTAGTAAATTTTTATTTTCCACAAAAAATAATTTATTATTAAATTAATTTTATTATAAAATAAAATTTAATAATTTAATAATATTAATTATTTA